TGCTGAAATAGTGCTAAATACATTTCTCCTTTGAAAATTTTATTCCAAGGGATTTGTAATATTCCTCACCCTATTAGTGTCTATATTCAGATAAAAGAAAATATGTTGTCAACTAAGGCAAGTCCTGAAAGGAATCACACCAGAAATAGACAAAGTTAATGATACATCCTCCAAGTTCCAGGTAGTAAATAAAGTATTTCCTGTTTCACCAAAAAAAAAACTTGCCATAATGGAAAGATCACCCAGACTGTGGCTGCGTAAAGCAGTCGCATCTTCTGTGCCCAAGGAGTTCTTGGCTGTTGTAAGCTCAGAGAAAACTTCATCTTTCATCTGCCAAACCAGCTCATACCTCCCCGTATGACCATTCACAACACCTCTCCAAAACCTTCCCAACACATCCCGCAGCCTCACTCTATTTCATGTTGTAAACAATAAATCCAGCATAGCACAAGGTGACATCTCCCAGTGACTTGCTGCTACTAAGCTACTGGTTGGACTTGATCTTAAGGGTCCTTTCCAACCTAAATGATTCCACCCTTCCAACAGCCAAGCCCTAGACAAGTAACAGCCAGTTCAGGGACTTATAATGGAGGGTTGACTACCAAAATTGATTCACACCAGCCGACAGAGTGACAGAATGGTCAGTCCCAAGTCTGGCAATATTACTTTCATGTAATCAGTGAAGGTAATGTTTTAGTAACCAGCAGTCAGAAGATAAATTAGGATGGACTTGACACAGCCACAGTCCCCAGTGAACAGAAAACCACCATCCAGCCCCATCTGAATTGTATGAAAGTACCAAATGCTAGACCTGTTTCCAAAGACCTGCAACAGAGGTGTCTCCCATGCAACTTTGCACAGGAAAACAATGTCAAGCAACAAACATTGGCCTTGATGGGCAGTTCTCTGCTGTACAAAGAGTCAGCACCAAGCAGAGGACTGGATAAAGCATCTCCCTGCTCTCCTGTACAGTAAACGTGACCAGAGCATACTTTGCTAAAAACACCTCACACCATACAAAAAACTTTTGCAGCTTGCTCTCTACTTCCAACTTTCACTTATAAATGCCACAGAACAAGTCCTGGCAACAGGAGCAACACTGCTAAAAGACTTATCAGTTTTGGAAAACAACCCAACTTTAACATGCAAGACTGTGGCAGAGCTACTTATCTATTAACTCCTCGATGCAACTCAATCTCTAATAATGGATTCCCTTGAAATCAGGCAGCGTAAACTCGTACTGAGGGAAGAGATGCCCTCTAGTGGGAGCGAGATGGGAGCTGCACCTGGGAGAGCCACAAAACCCAACCCAATTTAGCCACAAGGCAAGTGTATAAATCCCGTGAAAAGCAGGACTTACAAACACACCTGCAGAATACGTTACAAATGCATCAGTTTGCAGCCACGGGTTCACGAAGTGCCTGCATACAGCTACCACTGCAATTTTAGGGTTCTTTGGCTTTTATGACCATTTCTAGTCTAAAGTTTAATACTCAATTAGGATTTACACACTGGCTGTTAAAAATAACACTCATAACAGGAAAAGATTGCTTCAATAGCAAGGGTGTCAGACTCAAATGCCATTCAGTACGGGTGGGATACAGGGGAAATACAGAACTCCAAGACAAAAAATAAACCTGGCAGACAAACCTAAACCACATTAGATTTGGATAATTTAATAGCAGTAAGCGGAAAGCAGGAAGAGATTATTTTTCTGCCAAGTTATACCATGGCTGGAAACACACCCTGCAGACCTTGCCACTGTTGAAAAGCCGATAAAGTAGGTTAAAGGACAATCTGAAACTGTTCAAGTATTTAAACACACTACCTATTTTAGCAACAAGACTTCAGAAAGGCAATTTCAAGTTTTGATATGGGTCACCAGTTAACAATACTTATTACACAAATCACACTTCAGTTTTCATCATTGTAATTGTACCAGTTCAATACCAATGAACTGGAACAACAGTCCTGAAAAGATTTGACTTCCACTAGATTTTGCTAGCTATCAGAATTGGGAGTGATTGCAAACTCATAAGAATAACTGAAGAAATAAAAATAAATCACATTATATGAGAGTTCAAGGAGCTCAGGTAGGTTTACAGTTGAAAAAGAATTCAAAGAGTGCTTGACTTGACTATACAAGGAGAGTACACTTGCAAGGAAGCCCCCATAAGTCAGGAATAAAACACAATCCAGGAACAGGAAACTGATGATAGAAAAAAGGGATATGATTTTTTTTTTTTCTATCCAAGAAAAAACCCTGTTCCAATTATGGTAGTGTCACCATCAGTGCTTATAGCCAGATCAGATGATCATAATAGTGTTTCCACCCATGCAAAGAGCAAAAGAACAGCCCTCTATATGCAGAAGAATTATGAAAGGATTCTAAAGTTTGCAGACTCTTCCTACTCCCCAGAAACCTCTTTTTGGGGAGCTTCTATTTACTTTTACGGAACCCAAAGTACTTTCATAATCTTAATAGCTTCTTTGCAGACAATCCACATTTACTTTGAGCTGAGTAACTCCCATGGCTCCCATCTACCAGGAAAGGTCTAGTCTTTCACACGTTGCTGTGAAGAAAGACAAACCAAAGAACTCTGCTCCTTGAACATCACCACACTTTATCTACCTTTCTATACCCAGGGAAACTAGAAAACCTGTACTGAGAAACCAAGCAAATTTTTTTATCACCTTATGCATGAAGTCAAAATTTTACTGCTCTGCCTTTTCTGCCTGGCATTCAGCTGTTGCAGCAGGAGCTGACAGTAGCTGATGTGATGGCAGAAAGAACACCACACCAAGCTCCAGCCCCGGATCTCTGATCTGCTTTACCAGCATGCTAGAAGTAGTTTCAAAAGCTTACAAAATTAAGTTTAAGAAGCTATCTGTACAGAAACAGTGCTTGAGAATATATGGATTTACAAAATACTACAGCAGCCCTAAAAATCATTAACAGTAAAGGAAAGCCACATTTGGGCTCTAGCAACTAACGTGGACAAAACGGGATGATCAAACTCAAAGAATCTTACAGGGATGGTAAAGGATCCTTTTCCATACAGCTCTATCAAATGGCAGCACTAATGGGTTTGACAAGAAGAAGTAATGCGAGGAGATGCCATTTTGAAGGTAAGGGTGGAAAAAAAATAGTAGACTTCTAAATGTAAAAGCTAACTACTCCAAGGACAAGCCATAACAAGGTCAAAGCTAATCCTGGAAGCTGAACACCAAAGGATATACTGGAAAAAGAGCTGTAAACCAACTGCAGTTCTATACCATGATCCATGTTGATTTTGATTTTCCTCTCTTGTTAACTTTTCCTAGTTTACTCATGAAGAACTTAACCTTTTGCTTTGCTGGAATGCATCTAATTCCTTGTACAGGTTTATTTTGAAGCAAAGGCCACATCCTTTTACTGCACATAATTTCCTCAAGAAGAGTGAAAATGAGCCAGTTGGCACCACAGATAACACCTATGCACACCCTGCAACATGGGACAGTTTCAGCATTGGGGCTTTTTTGCTTTTTTGATGGTGAGTAGAGAAGGAGAAACCAGAACAGAAGTGTTTCTCACCAATATGTGAGAATCAGACTTGGAGCTAACACAAAGCAAAGCATGATGTTTGGTGAAAAAAAGGCTTAGTGGAAGTGCCTTTCTGGAAAAGCAGCAGCAGATGGAGAAACAGTCCTTGGACTTTAGAGTAATTCATATCAAAATAAGGAAAGGTCCAATCTTCCCAGTATCTTCACTTGCCTTGATAATGCTGAAGAAGTCTATTCATCCTAACGTCCCACACCTTCACTGTGTTATCTGTACCAGCTGCAGCAATGCACGTGCCACTGGGATGAAAATCCACATGATTCACAAACCTGTAAATTGCAGTTAAATCCAACTGTTTACATTCAACTCTTGCTAAAGATCAAAAAGGTCTTTTCAAGAAGGGAAGCTACATCATAATGCACTGAACATTACAGAAAGGAGGAGATAATATGAAAATTTGTATTGCTGAATTTCTCTTAAGACCTTGCTTATAACCCCAAGTATAATCTATGCTTAGATTATATCTAAAATTATAGATTATATCTTAGATTATATCTAAGCATAACATCTTCAGCATTTTGCATTACAGGTGTAGGAGCTGTAGACACAAGCCTCCTAAAATATGATGGGTGCAACTGTCACAACAACATTTTCAAGTATTCATTTAATGTTTGCATAATATAAGTCTTCTATTAAATTGAAAGGATTTCTAGAGTGGTGTGTACGTAACTGAACAAGTGAAGAGCATCTTGTAACTCCTCACCCAAACCACACAGGAAATTGGATAAAATTAATTACCCTTTGAGCATTCTTGTAACAAATGCTGAGGAAGTTGAATGTTTCAATTGGTTGTTTGGACAAGCTATATTCCTAAAAGCACTGAGAAAAATAATGTTGTCTGAATTTGTCTTAATAACACTGTATATAACCTGGCAAGAACACAACTTTGTAGTTAAAAACTCAATGCAGCAACAAACTAGGAAGATCCCAGTCTCAGTTCTCTAAGGACTTGTTTTGCATTTCTGGATAAATTAACATTTGCTGTGGCTCAATATTCTCCATAAAAAAGTCCAATTCAACAGCTGTTTTTCTGAATACAAAGTATTTTTTTGGAGTAACTTTGTTATTCAAAAGTTTGAGGATGAAACAAAGCATCCAAGTACCAAGTTGCCAGTACACTTTTGCTCTTTTAATTCACTTCAACACAGAGCAAAATAAAAAAGCTTAACATAGCTAGAAGAAGAAAAAGAATTTAAGCATCTCCAAATAAGCATAAAGAAACTAAGGCTTGACATGTTGGACAGATATCGAAATACAACCCTCAAGGTTCCAATCTGGAGAAGTCATGAAAAAGTCAAAGCAACTCTGGAAGCTCTTTTTGCACCTCATCCTCTTCTGGCTGCTTTTGTAATAGGTGCTAATGATTTTTTTTAAGAGGTAGAAATGATCGCCAGGACAAGAACCTCCAACTGCAGTCACAAAATCAGGTGTACATTGACCAGGCATCTCCATTTCAGAAATCACAAGAAGGCTGGTCCTCCTGCACCACCAGGTACTTACCCCCCATGCTCACAGAAGGAATGTATGCATTCTCTGCTGGTTTTATCCCACAGTTTGACAGTTTTATCATCGCTGGCTGACACTATCAATCGTCCATCAGGAGAGAATCTAAGAGAAGAGTTATAACAATTAAGAAATGCCCCCAAACAAAAAGTGTACAGGGTCAACTGGCTTTGGCCAGCTGTCAAGGTATGTTGGTAAACACACCTCGCCCCTCAAGAGAGTACACTGGCATCAGTGAGACTAAAAATTTCATCACTGTAAATTGAGCGGTAAAAAAAAAAGCAAGCCATAAGTCCTCAAACTATCCATAATTCCCCAAGTACGTAAAATAACCCTCAGGAAAATCTTGAGTCTGACTTAAGATCTCCTGTCTCACTCGTTTCAATTTAAGTGTATCTCAAGTTGTTTCTCTACCCTGATTCAAAACAATTCCTACCTTTGCCACAAGCATTCAGAGCAATATAATCACTCCCAAGATAACAGCTGCAGCAGGAGAAGCTTCATCATTCAAGTGCCTTAGAAAAATGCATTAAGTTCCTATCTCAAAATTTCATATACAAGACAGATTAATCTCTCTCTTCAGAGGCATACATTTTACAGATCAGGACTGGAGCCCCTAACTAGAGATCATCATCATACTGACTGGAAAAACATTCTTTCTGCTCTACTATGGGCATCTGTAGTACTACCAGCCACTGCCACCACCACATTCAAGAACTATAGTGAACTTTTCACCTGCAGAGAAACTGTGGCTTTATCCTAGATGCATATATACATAAAAACTCCTCAGAACAACTGAAAACCAAATCCAAGACAGTTAACAGGAAATAATATTTTTATTACAGCTGCACTTTCAGCATTTTGGAAGGAGCACAGCTGATCATTTTTAACTAGAGCCATGACAAGTCTAAAAGTAACGGAGCTGAACGAACAATATAAATCATTTTGCTTCTGTTAACAACTTCAAGAGGCAGAAGTCACCATACCAGGTAAAAGCAAAACACAGAACAAATGACTAACCAGGAAAGTCTCTGCTTGACAAAGATCACTGAAGAAACACAAAGTGGGTACACAACTATTACCCGAAGGGATCTCTCTGCAGGTCAGCAATACACTTCAGTCACTAGACACATCTGAAATTATCTTGAATAGAAATGTGTTACACAAGACCATGATACTCAGTTCTCTGCTGTGAGGGATAAATCCTCACCTCTGCTTGTCAGAAAGCCGTCCTTACCTGGCACAGCGAACCCAGTTTATGTGCTGACTAAGCGAGAAGAGAAACTTCTGCCTGTGAACCGTCCACACTTTGACTGTTTTGTCATCGGAAGCTGTAACTAAGGACTGGCCATCGCTGGAGAAATGAACACTTCTTACAGTCGCCGTATGAGCCTTGAAGACAGTGGATTCCCCTTTGCTATACAGAAGGAAAGAATACTTTAAAACTGCACAACAGGACAGCAAAGACATTACATCCCTGAAAACACAAAGGTTCCGTAGGCTGAGCAGTGCTATTAAGCACCATTTCTATGGAAACTGCATGTGCTTACATTAGGAAGAAAATGTTGACCAACCCCAAACTCACGAACACATAGCTACAACCAGTTGTTCAGTTCAATACTGGAGCCCAATCCAATAGGAAACAACCCACGATTCCTATAAAGGGGCAAAGATGCTATCATTAATTTGTGCAACCATTTAAAGCAACATTTATGGAAACAACAACATAAAAGAAGCTGCTGAGATTCTGTAATGTTACCAGGTCCTTTGCTGCAAGGCAGGTGAGGAGGGAGGTGAGTGTTTCCACAGTTCATCTAGAGAGCAGGCAGCTACCCCACAACCATCCTGTAATGGCCCATACTCCAGCTGAATGCTCCCGACACCAGCATCACACAAGAAATAACACAATTGAACTCAGCATGCCTGACGTTGTACAACTTTGAGCAAGCTACCATTAACTCAACCAGGCAAGACAAAAGATAAGGTATTGCTATTCTTCTTTACCCATCATTTCCAAATAAATGCAAGAGGCATTATTCTGGCAAATAAATGGACAGCATATTTAGAGATCCAACACACAGCATATTTGGCGATCCAATGGGTATATGGGACTCTTGGAACAAAATACATCTCCAGCATGTCCTGTACTACCAGGAGCAACATATTCACAGATGGAAGAGAACAACAGAAAGAGAGTGGTTTGCTCCTTCCTCCAGTAGGATTTAACAGGCTTTATACTGAAGCTGAGGACTACCAAAACCGTAAAGGCCAAAAAAATCAAAATACTACATACCTTCAAGCAATATTCCCTCCCTCCTCAGAAAAAGTAAGAGCTGCCTAGTTTTATTTAGTCCTTTATCTGCCAGAAGGCAAGGAACAGTAAAGGTTACTTCTCAGGAAAGTTTTCTTTCTGTCCAAAACCACAGAACATCCCCAAGTCTAACAAAGACTCATGCAATGAAATTACATGAAATTACAAAATTCTGTCAGCATGGCTTATAAAAAACAAATCCTAAAGACAGAAATTCACACACCAGGGTAGCACTAACTCCTTCAGTAACGTATCACCCTTGAAAGGGACTGCAAGATTTCAGATTCTCTGGAAATAAACTTCTGTCCCACAGACTATGGGGCAGCTTCTTCCTCCCCTTTTAATGACAGTGCAAAACTGTCAAGCTAAAGGTCTCAAACCTGATTCAACCTAAGCTTTTTTTTGTTGTTGTTATATTTAGAGAAGGTAATTGGACAAAGAATACTAAATAAACACAGATTAAAGGTACTGTGCACCAAGGTATTCACAACCAGGAGAACAGCTCCCTTTCCACATTGGCCCTTTTCTGACACGATGGCCATAGGTGCAGTTTAGACCCCAGAGCTCACGTGCCTAAGCAATCAAGACAGAACCACCCAACACAAATTCAGTTCTCATGCGAGATCCCAGTCCTTTCTTAAAATGTACACGTTAGCTTCCAAGAAATCTAACAAGTTTACGCTGCAATTTCTTTTCAGCATTCTGTGTTAGCAGCACAGCTCTGGACATGGCAAAATGACACTGTCAGTATCCAACTGTTTAGTGTGGGAAACAAGAGACTAGAGGAAACACTGGCAGTTGCTTCTCCGCATCTTGCCTGCAAAAAGCTTCTCATTACTTGCACAAGATTAAGTCTTCAAGCAGAAGTTCTTCAGTGCTCTCCTGGTTGTGCTGTGTTCAATGAAGTGCTCCTTGCTGAAGACATATCACTTCAAACAATGCATCGCAGAGTAAAACAACAGAAGTTAAGGTCTTTCAGCAAACAACTGCTAAGGACTTGACAAGTGTTAATGAGTTAAGGCAACTCAACCTTCTACTCACAAATGGAAACTTCACAATTAGGCTAAGGTACGGAAAGGGTAAGTACCTTCTTGTTAACCATATGCAAGCTCACAGAAAAGACAACACATAATCCAAAGTAGTCTTTTATCCTCGTAACATATCATAATTTACTACCAGTGGAACAGAGAGTTACTAGTTTTAGACCAAGAAATAAAGATTAGAGGCACCTATTTTGTGGACTATAGTACGCATAGAAGCTAACAGCCTCCACCCTGCTTACAGAACAGATATCTCCATCACTAAACCCCGGCTTTCAGCATCTTGCTTAACACTGGCAGAGAAGCAAAAGATTGATTTGCTAGGAGGAAAGACAGACTGGGGGAAAAAGAGGAAGAAAAAAAAACTCACCACTGATGAGTTACATTAGTGACTTCTTAAATTAGCATAGGAAGTTAATACTGACTTTAAGGTTTGCAAAGGATTTTAGTTTTGTTTCCAATGCAATTTTAAGCCCCAGTTATCTCTCTTCTGTCAGAGCTGCCACATAAAATGGTTCTTTTTTTCCCCTCAAACAGATCCCGGGCCCATAGCTGGAGAACTGTTATCAAGAAGCAAGGAGAAATCCCAAACCATAGTTAAAACACAAAAAGAGAGACAGAAGGGAATACTTACATGCTGGGAACCCATAAACGGACTGTTTTGTCTCTAGAGCCTGAAGCCACCAGGTGACCAGAAGGTGAAAACTGAACGCACATCACTGCATCCTTGTGGCCCACAAAGCGATAGGCTCTCATCTGAGGTCTCATACTCCAGATCATCAGGCATGAATCCATCGAGCCACTTGCTGAAATAAAAAAATAAAAAAAAAAACAACCCCTTGCACTAGTTCTCCTCCAACTACACTGCAACTACATTCACACTCAATTCAGCTTCACAGACTGCAGCAATCTGAAGCACGTTGTCCTTAAAGCTTCGCCAATGGATGGCATACTGCACATTTCATCAAACAAAACAAGGGCAGTCATGCATTGGCTTGCACTTACTTTCAAGAGTCAGACTGTGCAACAGCTGCAGAGGTAAAAGCTACACAAGTTGCATAACTTCTTCTAAACAAATACATGCTCAGGAAACACAAAGAAGGTCTGTGGATGAAGGTTCTCTCACCACTTTTTTCACTGGTAAGCAGAGGCAAGTACCAGCTGCAGCAGGTTAAATCTCAAGCAACACACCACAGATTAAGCAGAGAAGCCCTGTGAGTTGGTGACTTAAAGGTAACGCAGGTTCACCTCCCTCCAAGACTTCTCTCTTGTTGAAAAACGTTGATCAGAGTCAGCTCAGCATTTCCTAACCACACATGAAAAATCCAAGCTTGCAACACAATTGGAGCGGTGTTTAGTTTGCTATTAGTAGGAGAGGTCAGCAGGACTTGGTGGAGTCATGTGAGGCTTTAAGGAACTATGGATGGAGATGAGGTCCCTCCATCTTCTCACACCCAGTCTTGCACTCATGCCTACTTCTGGCTGTTTTTTTATTCCTATGGGTGAGTACAACCACAACTTGCCTTTGCTTTTGGGCTTCCAAGAAAGGGGTGGAAGACTGCAAAGGCACGCTCCAAAGACAAGAAAGACAAGAAAGGGCTAGAGGGAGACCAGAGGGCAAAGAATTCACTCACAAGAAGGCGACCATCCTCCAGGACAGATGCTGCTTTTTCAAGACCTCCCTCAGCAGCAAGAAAAAAGAGCTCTGATATGGCAGTATCATCATTAAAAGAAGATTTAAGGTCATCAACGTATAGAAAAACACCAAATAGTTTTTGCTGGAAATGTCCTTCTATATCACAGTCATTTCAACACAAAAATAACAGTCATGTCTTTTTCTGGTATTGATTCATGATTAACATATACCCACTTCAAACAGGATCATCCATTATGCTTGTGCCCTAATGGGAAACAAAAAACTTCACAGTTGTCAGTTAATTTCCTTAGGTAAAATTTAAGGGGAGACAACTATGTAAAAGTACATTGGGCACACAGCCTAGTGTGAAGGGATTTGAACGTTAGCCATAACCACACTAAATCATCATCTGGCAAGGATATTAAGCTGCGATATCGCAGCATCCCCCAGACTGATGTTAAAGGGCAAAGGCCCTCGTACTACTTCTGAAAGGCCATTCAAAAGCAATGCAACATAGCTAAATAGCAATTTAGCAATGCATTTAGAGCACTTGGCTAAACAGAGCTCTGCACTGACTGGATGAAGTTTTAGGAATACACAAACAGAATCACCAATGCAAAGCAGAGTGAACACTTGTTCTGCAATGAAAGACAAAGGAAATGGAAAGGAAAAGATAGCAGACAACAATGCAAACAGCAGCAGGGAGAGAGGGGGTCCAAGATGACTTTGATTCACTTTCACTTCCTTGCAGCTTCTAGAGTGTTCTGTATGGTGCAAGATCCAGAACAGGATTATTACTTGCTAGACTGCTGCATTTCTATTTATTCGTGTCTCCTGC